GCACTGCAAACTATTTTTTTATACAACTTTTTAATCATTTGTGATATTTTGCTACTTTGCACCATTTATTAATAAGATACAAAGCCCTTATTTTTCCACATAACTTTAGATAAATGTTACTATTTCAAAAAAAAGTTCATTAATAACAAATAAGATTAATCTTTCTGTAGGCCACCAATCTCAAAACTCCAGTTTGCGGAATAATACATAATAATGCACACTTGACAGCCAAGTTTAGTCCATCAATCCAATAACTAGGTTTTCTCTTTAGTGTCAAAGCCTCTTTTCTGATATAGTCAGGGATTAAAATATTTTTAACCAAATATTGTTAGTAGTTATATATCTTAGCAGCCTTTAAAGGGTTTAAAAAATAAATTACACATAAAAACTATGCCAAACAGTTATTCAAAGGGCCTTTCAAAATCTTTTGTTTTTGCCTTACATTCTTCATTATAAGTATCAGTAATTTTAGTGTCTGAAAAAATTGTACTAGTAAGTGTTCTTGCTGCAATAATTCTATGTTAAAATGGATTTTCTTACTTAAGTCCTAAACTGAGATCTCCTTAAGAACAGGGATCTAATTTTATTCATTTTTCTATCCCACTAGCTAGTACATAATAGGTGTTTAATGTCTGTAGTGTAAATGAAAGAACTGAATAGAAGTTTACATCCAAAACTTTTAATAAGACAAATAATGAAAAACTCCAAAGTCACTTATTATAAAGAATATGCAATTTTTATGGAATTTATTGCATTTAAAGAAAGCAGATGGTTAAAACAGTAGGTATGATAAATACAGTAAGAAAATAACTTTAAATTTCAAACAAAATGAAATCAGGAACAGAATTCAGTTAAAAAGAATAAGCAATGTAAAGGCAATAAAGTACAAATCAGTTAGTGCTTAATTAGATATAAGGAAAAAAAGCAACTGATTCTCATAAGTTTCCCAGCTATATTTGAGGACTGAAGTTACTTTAGCAAGTATGTTTTATAACAATTAGAAATATAATAAAGATGTAAATTGGTTTATTTAAAGGTTAAAGTTATTTGCTTAGTGGTACATAAAAGGCTTCAGAAAATTCAAGTTTAACAAAAAGTGGAAGTGTAATCAAAGAAAGTGCACTTAAAGCTGTTTGCCAGCAATTAAAAAGTAGCTTCTATACTGCTATTAAGATGACTTTTCAATCACAAAAGAGTGTAGTAATAAAAATAATTCTTTCAAAAGTAGCACTATAACTTTTAAAATGAAACAAAAATAACCCCAAATGACCCTTTTCATCTACCTTATTCTTTTAGTGGCTTTTGTAAACCCTCACTAGGAGTGAATGTTCTTTTAGATATGACTGTGGTTGTAATTCCATTTTTAAAAAATTCACATTAACTCCACAGTAGAGAGATGTGACATGTGCATGCATGTGTGTGTATTATATTTTTATCTTAATATATAAAACACCAAGGAGTATAAAAGTTTTCAAATAAACTATCATTTGTTATTCTCACAGTAGATATGTATTTCATTCTCACAGTAGACTGTCAACTCAATAACTGGACCTAAAATGATAAGAGTAGTTTTGCTAAAAAGGGGGGAAAAAAAGAGGGAGAAGGAAAGTTCACTGCACGTTTTACATATATAAAAATAAATGTACCCAAACTCCTTAGAACTAGTGATATTCACACACTTGTACCTTCTAACAGTGTTTATGTGAAGTACCAAAACCTAAAATAAACCAAGCAGAGTAACTGAATAGTAAGAAAACTGCTCGGCCTGATGAACATCAGCATAGAAGAGTGGGCTCCACCTTAGTATTTTCCACCAGCAAGATGAGGACAACAGTCTATCACTGTTAAACAATAACAGAGTAGGACTGAAAGGTGCATCTATCTGGAAATCCAGATAATGTCATAACTATGCCCAAATACACACATACACAGGGGTTGAGGGAAGGGGAGGTTATACTTCTGAATAAATATTCTAGTCAGTTAAATTTTCATCCAGCCTACAACCTCTTCTCCTCCAACAAATATATATATCAAGCATTTTTTGTCTTAGCAGATACATTCTTCAATGCCATAAAAGCTGATCTTATTTATATTAACATATTATTGATATGATAATGTTAAAATAACTAAGCAAATGGTCCACTTTTTAAAGGATTATTCAAAATCAACAAGCATTATTAAAGCTGTTAGGAAACAACTTTGGCCTCAGGTTTTTGCTAACTTCATAATATTTTACTTCCCTTAGTGATGTTCAAGTATAACAGGTTTAAAGTTATGACTACTTCACATCCTAAAGAATTACAGGAGACACCCAAATAATAACAGGAAAATACATATATGCATTTTATTTATTTATTTTACTTTCCTTCTTTAAACCAGAATTGGACCATCCCATACTCAGAAAAGCCAAACTTTTTGACTGCCGTGTGCCAGCTATTATATTAAGTGCTTTCACATGTCTTAGGAGCTTTATTCTCATAAGGGAATTACCTAGGCATCAGCTGTGTGGAGTGACCTACACCTTGACCATGGTGGTGGGAAACAATGAAAAAAATGGAAAGTATAAATCTATACTCCATTTTTCCTTGGGAAAAATGCCTCTACTTCAACACAAAGGAATCCCCCCATTTCTATTCCCATTGGATCCCCCAATTGAATCCTAAGTCTTCCTCTGAGCTACAGTCTCAAAAGAAGAAAGTCATTGGGCCATGCTATAATAAACATAATGTAAATATTTTAAGCTATATTGGAGTTGTTTCCTCAGAATTTATCCAACATGATAGGCCAAGGGGTCTACATCAGTGTGTGAATCATTTAAAATTATACAGTGTACTGAAAAACAAGTAGAACTCTAGGTATTTCATGTTTACATCCCAAGGAGACCACATTAGTTTATCCACTACGCCTTCTAAATGATGCAACTCAGGAGGTCTAGCAGAGACAAGGACTAAAATAGTCAAAGAAGCATTATTGTGTACATGTCAACCAACACATTTTCATTTAAAAAAAAAATTCTTCTGTTTGATACAAACCTACTGTAGTTCATGAATTTACTATGTGTAATCATCAACTCTTCACTTTTAAAAGAAAATATCACTTAAGTCAATTTTATAAAGTTCTAAAGAACATCTACTTGAGAGTTTGCATTAGCATATTAATCAACCTGAGAATCAGAAAAAAAGGTGCAAACACAATATTTGCCTTTGGCACAAGGACAGAGTAATTGGTGCAGTCCAGCTCTAAAGGTACAACTCTAAATAGTAATGTAATGCTTGGTCTGCCTGTGCTACATTATGATTCACATACTGCTTCCCTATCTGTCCAGAAATTTGTATTTGATTTAGCATATAAGAGAAGCAATAAAAAAAATGAACATGTGGTTTAGTTACATATACTTTGCTTCTTTCCAAGTTCAGAACTGTGAAAATAGTTAAATAGCTTATCCCATTGGGGCACTATAATTAGGAAATTCTAATAAGATTACTCAAAATACTCTTTACATCAATCAAAAAGAGTGCCAGTTGAAAAGACTTTCCACTCCTTTTTGTAAATAGCTGTAAGAGTTCTAGAAACTTCCAAACGTTAATCTAACAAGGAAGGACAGTTAATTGTAACTTAAAACAGTTGGAGACACAAGAAGCAGATACGATATTCACATTAATTCACGTATGTGATTACTACCACTAAACACAATTTTTATACAACCTCAAATTTCTAATTAAGATTTGCGGTGTTGAAAAAAAGAAGGCAATTTGGTAGCTAGGTTCTTTTCACTAAAGACACAATTGCCTAGCAGAGTTAAAATGCTAGTGCCTTATCATCTGATACTTACATCCATTTTAAGATCTGGTATATTAACGCAGAGGTACTTGAAACAGGTCATGTGAATCCTGCCTATAAGGCTTTGTGGGTGTCACTGTTCTGTGCACTTTATTAAAACTACTCCACCCTCCAAACCTAACTAAAATAATTGTTGCTTATGACTTGGGGAGTATTTGGTGAAGGTGGTAATATAATAAAGTACATTATTAAATGCAACATGATTTTTACATTGTAAATGTCTTAAAAATTCATGGTTTCAGCTACTTTTTTTTCTGAAATAAATTTCTCTTTAACCCTTGTCCTCACTCCCAGTTTTTCCAATAATCTGCTTTATTAGGAACATGACAAAAACCTGGGGCACGAATCCATTCAAAAATAATATAAAGTGTTTCTAAAGTAGTTTTTCTTCTATATCATTTTTTGTTTTTCAAATATCATATATTTTCATTATGTTTTAGTTCTATACTTCTTTGTTGGTACTCCATATTTTTAAATTTTTTGACAAAAATTGTATATATTTATTGTGTACATGTTTTGAAATATGTATACACTGCGGAATGGCTAAATTGAGCTAATTAACATGCATTGTTTTGCACACTTATCATTAGATATTCCATATTAATGGCACTTGTTTTTAAAAGTGAAACAGTTTTAGGCACAATTTTCAGTTACTTCTGGCTCTGCTTTGTAAAGGGGTACGGACTGAAATCTCTGCACTCTCAAGATAACTTTCTAATTAAGAGAGCTAGATTGTTTTTTACTGTGAAGAAATTAGGAGACATCTTTTAAAAATTCACAAATGCAACCTGTGTATGTACAAATAACTATAGTTTCAAATGCTGGATGTGGAATGAGCCTGGGATATGCACACAAAAGTGACATTCTGATATCAAAAATAATGACACAGTTTTACTGTTCCTTCTCAGTGGCTACACACCTGGAATGGTGCCAAGTGCTTTCACTGGAAGTACCACACAAGCATTTCTGTGCTCTGATGTCAGTAGCAGAAACCCTTGGTTAGAGCTTGCAATTTAGCTCCCTTTTCTCCTACTTCGAAGAGGCATCAAGTTACTACCCTGTTGAGATACTTCCTTTTTCTATTTGGTTTATTTAAAAATCACCTATTCTGATTGACCTGTAAGAATGAATGATATAAAGAGCTATACAAATAAATTTTCTTTAAAATTCATAAAATTATTTATACTTTTTTGAAACAGGAGTTAATGCCAAGACTCCATCAGAAGTATCTATTGTTTAGAAGGAAATGGAGCAGCACCAAATGGGTCTAATTCGACTGGTTGGGACTGTTGGGACTGATGTGGAGTGATACTTTGCACCACAAGTTCTGTAAAGGGCACAGCACCAAAATCATCCATTCTCAATGCATCTGCACTATGGAATGATCCATGTAGTGAATTCTGTCTTGACCGCCCAGGTAGGACAGTATTATGATCAGCACGGATGTCGCTCAGGCCCTGATGTGAAGGGTGCCATGGCAGGTCTGGAGGATGGAAGGGCTTGGCACCAAAAGGGTCCAACAGACTCTCCTCAGGTTGTAGAACATTTCCCCTGTCCTTCCCGTCAGTCAGTGCAACGCTGATGTTCTCCTTGGAGTCCGAGATGGTTAAAAATTCATTGCTGCTTTGAGAGTCTCGGCGGCCCACTTTTTTGTGCCTCCGAGCCCTCTCCGGAGTGCGGTAGGTAGGCTTCAAAGTCTTCTTTGTGCTAGTTGGCGTGCCATGGTGCCGCTTCCCATTACTTTTGGACATGTCCTGCTTTGTGCGCCTTTGGCGAGAGGACAGTTTCTGTAAGCTGCGCTGTTTGACCTTTTGCTGCTCACCCCCAGTTATTTCCTCAAAGGGCACAAGCCCAAAAAGGTCGTTACTTTCACTTTTATTTGTTGATGTGGGAAAGGGCTGAAATGGAGTGGAGCCAAATATATCTACACCTTTGGGACAATCAGGGAGAGTATGTGCATCAGGTCCTACCGCACGGCAGTCTTGTACATTCACTTTCCTGCTAAAGGGCGCCTTTGTGAATACATCAAATTCCTCTTGCTGTAGTCCCACAGTAGGAAGCCTCTGTTGAGAGAAGTTCTTTTCATCCTCTCCTTGCTGAGGTTGAGCATGCACTGCGAAGAAGGGGACAGCGCCAAATACATCAAACTCCTGTTTGGGAGTCTCCACCCCAACATCAGAGGGTGATTGCATTGGGGTGAGGAGTGTTGTATTAGGATCTTGGGTTGGTCCACTGCCAGATTCGTCTCTGTATACAGGGCTTACCTCACTGTACTTTGCTTTAGCCTGCTCATAATCAGAATCAGAACTATGTTTCTCTTCTTCTTCCTCATCTTCAGAATCCATAAGGAGAGGCCTATGACCCAGATTTTCTGGTTCAGTATCATCATCATTAAAATCTCCTTGTTCTCCCTGAAGAACTTCTTCATCCTCCTGTTCTTCCTCTTCACTACTCTTAGGAGAAGGGGGATCTGATTCAAAATCACTTTCAGATTCATCATTCCCCTTCTGTACTTGACCCTGTACTGATGAATTCTCTGAGGTTTTCTTTCCAGACCGCTGCTCTTTAGATACTGGGCTTGCTTTTCTGTTCCTGACAGGGTTGGCAGTGCTATTTTCTTGATTCATGGGCAAATGTTCAACTTTCTTTTCAGAAGAACCTGTGGGTTCAAAGAAAAATTATTCTACCATTCCAATGCATTTCAAAATCCATTTTTACTGAATGTTAATATGTATTAACACATGGCATTACAAATCCTTCCTACCAGTTCCCTAGAGGGAAAAAATGTCAATTCTTTGTCATTAGCCTTAGAGAATGCACTCAACTAGATGGTTAGGTTCTTGAATGCAGACAGATTTATTTGTTTTTGGACCCTACACACTGACTAGTCATCATAGAACCTTCACAGACAGCTAAATTTTATTTATAACACCCAAAATATAAATCTGAATATAGCAGACAAGCAAATTTTCTTTTCCCCACCATCAAAATAAGATTAGCTAATTTTGACTGCTCAGATCCCACCATCACCAAGTAACCTTTTGCTTATATTTCAACTCTATTGTAAAGTTTTCCCATGGAAATCAACAAGCATGAATAGCTTGTCTGCTTACTCATTTTTCTAGTAAGCATTTTGGTTTTCTTGGCTTGTTCTTTGAGTTGGCTTAGCATAAATGCATCCCCCATAGCCTGATCAAAGCTAAGAACCAGATTAAACTGAGACTGTACCAAGGATATCTGCCTTCACTGGATAACACATCTTCCTTTAACTATAATACCTATACTATTAAACATTACAATGAAAGCATACTACCTTTAAAAACAAATCTAAACCATAACTAAGCTAGCTATATGATAGGTAATAAAATTAAATCAAATATAGTACTTTACAATTTAACTGTATGGTATATAATATAGATAGTATATTAGTTTACCTGAAAATATACTGTCCTCCCAACACATTGGTATACTGAATTGATTTTCCAGCGGTGGGGAATCCAACCACACATTCTTATCCCTTCCCTTTCCTTCAAGTCAGATCAAATATTTTCAAAACAATTAGCTAGGGTTGGAAGTACAGTCTGTAGTCATGAAAACAAATTAACTTAAAATGAGGGACCATTACTTTTCCATTAACACGGTGGTCTCTGGTATATGACATCTCTGAGTATTTCATTCTCTTTGAAAAGTCAGCACTGTGGTCTTCCTACATCTCTGACTGTAGAAACTTTTCTTTCACTAACATCCCCTTAAATATGTACATTCCCCAAGATTCTATCATTGGCTGTGTTTTTCCCTCTGCATGCTCCCCCTGGGTCTTAACTACCTGTATGTTGACTGCCAAGTACACCAGCACTTTTTGGCTAACTCTAATCTCTTTAACCCAGATCTTATTCCTAAATTCCAGACTCAGATCTCTAATACTTACCTATTTGTGAGACTATGTATACAACCATTACATCAAACTCAATAATTTCAAAAAAGATCTTCTTAAAATGTGCTCCTTCATTTTTCCTCTTAAAATGTACCTTCATCTACTCAGGTCTTCAAACCAGTAGAAATCTGGAAATTATCTTCCCTCTTCCCAAACACTTACTGTGTTTTTAAAATCTCTTGAATCTGTTTCCTTCTCTCCCTCCGCCAGTTGTCCATTTCATTCCCTCATTCTCTCTCATCTAACAACTTCTTAGCCTCTAAACTTTCCTCTCTGCCTCAAATCCCATATCCTTCAAAGTGCTCCCTTACATTGTCAGCAGAATGATTTTTCTGAAACATTAATGATGTGACTACCTGCTTAAAATCTTCAATGGCTCTCTCAAGTCCCAGCCCTTACTTAGCATAGCACAGGATGTGTGGATTTTTGTTCTACCACATCTTTAGCTTCAGACCTTGATGTCTCCCATGGGTATTCTTTATTATAGCCATACCCAAAGTCTCCCTACGCAAACTCAGGAAAAGAATAGATTCGGATTTTTTTTTCTTTCTTTTTTTTTAGCTATCTTGCTAATCCAGCCTCTTAATATTTGTTATCAGAAACTCAGGAACCTAACAGATTTGGGTATCAAGAGACACATTTCTGTCTTAACATCTCTCTCCCACTGCAATACTGTATCTCAGTATGTATGCCCTTCTGCCACTCCCACTCCCACTTTACAGCCTAGTGAGTATGGCTAAATTTCAAGACCCAGTCCATATTACAGCCCTCAGAGCCACTCCTTAGAAAATAACCATTCTGTATTCTGCTCTGGTGAACCTAGTGCAAGCCTTAATTGTGGTAACAACTCCACTGTATTACAATTATTTACTATTATCATTACTATTTATCACTTATCATTCATCTATGTACCCTGTGCTAAATCAATATTTGTTGAGTGAAACAACCAATATGTGACTACTCTAAGCTCACCAACTATATTCAGAATAAAGGAAGTTACAATAAATATAAAAAAAAGTATAAAGGGATATAATGAAGGAAAATAAACTGTTCACATCTGAAGATTTCTTAGCTCAGAATTCATTCAGCCACTGGCATTTTCTCACTTCATTCAACAAAAAGGTTTATAGGGCACTTTACTTCATGCTATACACTGATTATATATTGCCGAATAAAACATGGTCTCTGCTTTCAAGAGTTTAGAGTATAAGTAAACATGAATTATGACTAGTACTCTGAAATAACAGCCAGCAGAGAGAATGGGTGCATTAAGGAGATGACAGCTGACTAAACAATGAGAAGGAGCCAGCCATGCATAGGATAAGCTGGAAGTTGCTCCAGATAAAAGTGACAGCATGTATGAAGGCATGTTTGACTGAAAATAGGATCATAGTGAGCAAGGGGGATATACTGTACAAGATGAGGTAGGGAAGACTGGAAAAGTCCAAACTGTGAAAGTCCCTTTAAGACCAAATTCCTTATTAAGGAGTTTGAATTTTATTTGAAATTTAGTGTATAGCAGAAAGCCATTACAAGGCTTTAAAATGGCTGTCATAATCAGATTTATATTTCGAAAGGATGACTGGCTACTGTGTAGAAAAAGACTAATGGGGAGTGCAAAAGTTGGGGTATGAGGGAAGAGAAAACTGCAGTACTTCAAGTTAGAGATTATGGTGGCCTGAATGACAATGGTGGCTGGGCAGAGAGATGCAGAAAAATAAGCAATTAAAGAGGAAAACTCTGGATGTATGGTGGTATCATTAACACAGAAAGAGTGAGTAAAGAATGAGTTGGGAAGTAGAGGAGATTATCAAAAAGTTGGTTTTGGACACGTTAAGCTTGATGTATGTGTGAGACAACATTTAAGTGTGAAGCAGTAAAATATCTGTGGCTTGAACATAATGGTTAATTTTTGGCTGAAGAAGATAGACTTAGGAGTAATCACCATGCAGAGGGTATGCAGACAGTCACAAGACTAAAGGACATCACCTGCAAAGAATGTGTAGAAAAAGAAAAGAAGGTCCAAACTGAGCCCTCAAGTGTAAAACATTCAGAAGTCAACAGAGGAAGAAGAACCTACAAAGCAGAAAAGTACCAGCCAGAGAGGAGGACCACAACCAGGTGAGTGCAATGTCACAGAAGCCGATAGAAGAGAATGTTTCCAGGGGAGGTAACAGAAAACTGAACTGGATGGCACAAAGAGATCCAATAACTGGGGACAGAAAATGTCCAATGGATCTGGTCACGCTATGCAGTTTATTGGCAACCTTGATGTGAGTGGGGCTAAAGAGGGAGTAGGAGAGAAAAATGTGTAGAATTCCATTGGGTTATACTTAATACAAATAAAGTCTTCTGCCACTTCCTTAATATCAGCCAGGGGATATATGCTGTTGAGGGAACTTCAAAAGGTCTGTGGAAACATAGAGTTAAAAAGTAGTATGAATCTCTCCATGAACATTTGAAGTATTTTTATATTTGGTATTCTAACAGACTAAAATCAAACACAAATTCTCAAGTTTGACTTCTCCCTCATATAGCATACTTCTGATGTTATTTTCATGAATCTTTATTCAAAGGCAAAATATATATGGTTCCAGAAGAATTCCAATCATTTCTCACTCTGGAATATTTCCTCTAAGAGATATTCTAACTTATTACCTCCTCAAACTACTTACCCCCCCACAGAAAGCCTTGCCAATGTGTACCTCTCATACCTGCTCATGGACACCTCCAGTAACATTCCAATGTTATCTAAAGTGTATGGTGCAGAACATTTCCCATAACAAGAACTAAAAAAACAAAAAAAAAAACAGTTCTGTGGTCTCAGGCAACTAAGTCTGAGATAATGCATTCTACATTCTGCCTCCATCCCTACCCACTTGGAATATGCTTATTAATGGTATTGATGAGTCCCACACAAAAGAATCTGTTTAATTTTGTGAAACCTAGGATTTCTCAAATTTCCTTCACTACCCTTTTATTTACATGTAACACCTGTTAACTTTTCTAAACAGTTATGGAAAAAGCAATTTGGAAAATTTTCTATCTCTAGGGCACTTAGTTTTGTTCCTGAAGGCATTCTGGAATATTTAACGTGGGATAGATTTCCATCTTTGAGAGTGTCCTTCAATTCCCCTTGTTTTTGTTATTTTATATTTTAATTCTAGTCTCCTTAAAATGTACTATTTTATCCAATTGGCCTCCTTTACTTTCCAGATGACATCTGTCACTTTCTACTTCTTATTCTGTCTACCCTTTGTCAGCTTCTCAAAGATGCATTAATAGAGATACACAATTCTTGTTGTAAAGTGCCATATAGTTCTATTTTTGTAATTGTCAGTGTGGGTGGGTAAAAATTTGGCTTTTTTACTTACCATTTTTAATGCATCTTTCCAGGTATCAATACAGGCCATTATTCTGATATAAATATGATAGACTATGTATTGTAACATACATATATAATAGTCTATCATGTTTCTAACAAAACAAGATAGACTATTATATAGTCTGTGATAAGTACACTAACAAATGTATATCCACACACCTCAAGGGTGCCTTTTGGACCCTGGAAATTATATCTCTGATTTTTAAACAGCTTTATTTGAGAACACAGTATGAGAAATGGAAAAGGACTGCTTTCAAAAAGAGCAAGAAAAGACAATCTATGCCATCTTTGTGGTTTCATATTACATCCCCAATGGTATGGGTAACTAGGGAAATTTTAT